TTGGGTGTTTGGGCCATTAAATTGGTCCGGAATTGGCTCCAAATTGGGCTATAATTTAAATACACAAAACAACATAAAAGAATATTTATAAGAAGTAATTAACATAGAGTAAAAATAATTTTTATGTAGTAAGATGATTTAAAATAATAGTTTAACATTATAAAAATATAAAAATACTATTTGGGTACAAATAATGTAATAAGATGTAATTATGCATAACATATAGGCTATTACTGTAAAATTATGTAAAATAGCTTTAAAATACAAATATGATTATATAAAATAAAGTAAAATATTATGAAACATATATGTGGATGAAAATAATAAATTTGTATGATTAAGTCCTCACAAAATAATTTAAAGGGGTAATTAATACATATTTAAATAATTTAGATGCAAGAAAATTAATTTTAAAGCTTAAAATAATTATGAAAAATTATAGAAAATGCTTATTTGACCCCTATAAATTAGGTAATAATGCAAAATTATATGGAATACTTTATAAAATATGAGGACAAAATTGGGTATCAAGACTTCCAGTTGCTGAAATGCGAGGGGTCTTCATCTCCCCACACAAATTTGGTTATAGAGTTAATGCCCTAATTTCTGACCTAGCTCCTTGAATTTCCCTGATTTCGTCCATCTCCAACAAAAAATTGTGTCGATTAGCCTTTGTGACTTTGCGTTCTGAAAGCTGTATCTTATTGATTGTCTTCCGTTTTCGTGCCCCAACCATTCTAACGAAGCCGCACTTTAGCACACTCTATCATATGCCTTGGGAAAGTCAGTGACGAGAGTATGGGAAAGCCACCTATAAACATATTTAAAATGTCCAATATTAATTCCTAAGTTAAATTATCTAAAGTTAGTGCAATATGCTCCAGGAAAAAATAACAAAAAGAGTATTGTAAATCTTAACCCGTCATGATAATTATTTAAAATTATTATACATTATACGTAAAAGTAAAATCTGTTAATTGTACTCAGTATCACTGTAGAAAAATTTAATGGCAAAATCTACAACACTTTGCCAGTAGCCATATCTCTCCATGGTTGTTATGCGAAGACTTCAATGAAGTCACCTCTAGTACAGACAAGTTTGGTGGTAACCCCATTAATTTAAATCGGACTACTGCATTAAACAACTGCTTGAACAACCTTAACATGATTGATCTAGGTTTCACTGGGTCAAATTATACTAGGACTAATAAATGTACTGTTAGGAGTAATCTCATTCTAGAACGACTAGATAAGTTCTATGCAAATGATGCTTGGCTTCACATGTTTGTCGATTACAGTGTCCTCCATTTATCACGTACTCACTCTGACCATTGCCCGTTAATACTTAATCTCCACAAATCTACCTCAAAGTCTCCACCCATATTCAGATTAGAAATCATGTGGTTTAGCCACCCCGATTTCTCTTTTGTCGTATTTGCTAATTGGTCTTTCAATTCTAACTATCCTAATGCATTACAAAAATTTACCGACCACGCAATTAATTGGAATAAGGAAATCTTTGGTAAAATTTTCTACAAAACAAAAATTACATTAGCCCGGCTTAAGGGGCTGCAAACGATGGATGTAACTAGAAAAAATAGCTTTCATTACAATCTTGAAAATTCACTAATTACTGATTTTAACCAACTGTTAAAACATGAAGAATACTTTTGGAAGCTAAAATCGCGCATCCAATGGCTCAATGAAATAGATGCCAACACTCGCTTCTTCCATATTACGACCACTCAACGTCGTCGACATAATAGAATTCTAGCACTTACTGACTCTGTCCGCAACTGGACCTTTGATCCTACTGAAATCCAATCTCTCATTACCAGCCATTTTTCAGTCATTTATACCACCCAACTAATTTCTTGCACCGCTATACAGCCTACCCCATCCTTCAACTCCCTACCCAATAAAAATATCCAGACTCTATTAAGGCCGCTTACCCACACTGAAATTTATAATTAGTTCAATCCTTTTAACCACTTAAATCACCTGGGCCAGATGGTATACACCTCATTTTCTTTCAAAAATATTGGCAGCAAACTCAACAAGCCATTGTAACTGCATGTCCGCCTTTACCAATGCCACTATACCCCCAGACATAAACCAAACCCTTGTCATATTAATCCCTAAAATAAAAAATCCCAACAATATTCTTCACTGCCGCCCTATTGGCCTCTGCAACACTATTTACAATATTACTAAAATCCTATCTAATTGGATTCGACCTTTTCTCCCCTCCATGATTAATCCCACTTAATGTAGTTTCATCCCAGGGCGTCGTGTTATCGACAATGTGATCATTGTCCAAGAAGCCCTACACTCATTCTGTCGTACCAAAGGACGGGCATGTAAAATGATGATCAAAATAGACCTTGAAAAATTCTTTGACCGACTTGAATGGTCATTTGTGCATTTCTCAGTACAAAAACTAAATTTTTCACCACTAATCATCAAGCTTATTATGTCTTGCATAACCACTTCTTCCATTTCTATCCAGGTAAATAGGATCCCACCCCATATTTCCAGCCGACGAGGGGAATTCGTCAAGGGGACCTACAGTGGCGCTATCTATTTATCATTTGTATGGAAATACTATCTCAGTTTATTGAAAAAGCGGTTACTGTCAAATACTAGAAGTCTATCACCCTTTCGCGATCTGGCCCTTCATTATCCCATTTACTCTTTGCTGACGACCTACTCCTCTTCTCCAAAGAAGACCTAAACAGTGCCTCTGCTATGTCAAACATTTTCAACACTCTTTCAGTTGTTTCTACCCAACGGATCAACCTCCACAAGTTAAAAATAATCTTTTCCAAAAATGTCCCCCCTCACGATCGCGCAACAATCACCTCTACGCTCAATATTCCTTCCTCTTCAAATTTTGGCAAATAACTTGGTTTCCCCGTGCCTAATATGCACCCTAAATCTACTGACTATCAATACCTCCTAGATCGTATGAACAATAGATTACGGGGTTGGAAAATTAAATTCCTCACATTTGCTTGACGTACCGCACTGGTAATATCTGTACTCAACTCCATCCCCACATACGCCGTGCAAAATCAATTATTACCTGTTAACACACGTGAGCATATTAACCGAATACAACGTGACTTCCTGTGGGGCTCAAATGCTACCCACAGAAAAATTCATTTGATCAATTTGGATAGTGTCTCAACCCCAAAGAAGCATGGAGTCCTGGGAATCCCAAAAACATAATCCAAAAATGTAGCCATGCTCACTAGCCTTACTTGGCATTTTTCTACTCAATCCAACAACCTATGGGCACGTGTACTCCAGGGAAAATACTGTGCACCAAGAGCAACCAACCCTCATACTCTAACCTTCACTGCAAGAGTATGACTAAGGTTGCCCCCTTTTGCCATCACGGAACCTTTTGGAATATTGGTACCGGCAATAACAACAATCTCTGGTACGACCCACTCCTTAGACATGAGCATACACTACCACTTAGCCACATCATACTGGACCATAACTATAATCTGGATTTACTGTCCTTTGAACTACATGCCACAATCTCTTCCCTGATCCATAACACCTATTTTCCTACCCATACCAATGGACCCGATTCATAGCACTGGGCGTCTATATCTAATGGAACATTTTTCACTAAATATGCCTATAACTTATTTCTCCAGTCACATCATCAACCCCCTACACCCTTTCCTCATTACGGGCTATGGAAAACACCAACGCTTAACAAGATCAAGCACTTCCTGTGGCTCCTTCTCAGGAATGCATTACCCACTAGAGCATTATTATCATATCGTCAAATCATACCACATGCCACTTGTCCAATATGTGCTCACCCACACAAGGACATCCTTCACATTTTCACATCAGCCACCCACATTTGGAACCATTTTAACATTGTTATTCCCTCCTCCAACCATATCACATGGTTACATCATCTTTGCACCAACAATGATTCAACTCCATTGGACCCCAATGCTAATCCTCATGTTACTATCCCTTTATCACACCTTGTCCCGGTTATCACAATCACATGGTAATCTTAAGTACTCACACATTTTTACTGATTGCAGGTCGATGATGAGTTACCTTCACATGCCAATAATCCAGCACACATTTAGAGAGGGAATTGGTGTAGCGGATGCTATGGCTTGTTTTGGGAAAGGACTGCCTTTTGTGGATAATCTTGATGCCATGTTTTTGGAATACCCCCACCTTTTATCTTACCGCAATTACTTTTGGACTCAATGGGAATTGTAACACCACGTTCAGTGCCGTTGCTGTAATGTACTCGTTTATGTTTGTTCAATAAAAAATTGCATGTTCTTAGCAACAACAAAAACCTGCTAATTGTCCAATATTGGTTCCTAGAGTTAAATTAATCAATTTGGAGTCTACGCTAGGTGCTAATAAAATTGTCTATTGTTGAGACATTTCATAACCTAAATTTGCTACTTGAAGAGCAAAATCTTTCTCAAATTCTAGAGAGATCTCCTTATTCGAACATTAGGAAAGAAGCTTATCACTTTCTGGAGGACAAACTAAGACGACCTACTAAATAGGAGGAAAAGGTGCTATCCCAATAGGTTCCGGATCGGATCGAGCAATAAGTGAAGGAGCTTGACCAATCCCAATGAGGGAAGTAGTGAAAGAGAAGCGGAAGGGACATCTTGAACTCAGGGGGAAGGGACCTTAATGACAACAAAAGAAGTGCGTGCATTTCCCGATCAAAGAAGCCCTTGAAAATATACAATTATTGCTCATAGAGGTGCATTATGCAAAAATAAGACTTTCTTTAACATAGTGCGATTCTACAGCGAGGCCAGAAATTTCTCTAAGGGTGTTCGAACTTGAAAGAAGTGAAAAAAATTCTCGGACAAATGGTGTTCAATATATATATTATATACCTCTAAAACTTATTATTGTACTTATAATTTTTCGACAAAGGATGGTCAATTGACCCCCCTTAGGACAATGTGGCTTTGCCCCAAGTCTCTTGCAATGTTCACAGCATTAGTTAAAGAGTTTCTGCTTTATATAAAGTTTTAACAAAGAATATAAAAGCCAATGTACATATAAAGCAGCACCTATTACATTTCTATACTTGTTATCTGACTTGTATACTAGTATAGTATTTTGTTCTTTTAAGTCACTCTTCTTCAACTGAGAAATCAGGTTCTGCAGGTTTCTGCAATGAGCTAACTGCAGTGGAATCCGAACTAGAGCGCTTGTGGTGACCCCTTCTACTTGCTGCCAATTTTGCTGCATAGACTGAAAAGCCTGATCCTGGTGCTGATGCATTTTTATCCAACTGTCCACTCACTGATTCTGTTTCATTCATTATGTTCTCTAGAGCTCTAAGCTCGGCTGCACTCTTTCGCTTTTTATATCTACGCCATGCTGCTTGAACGAAGCATGCAGCCCAAGTACGCCATTGGTGTGAGTAGAACCTGAATTTGTGCCTTAATTGTTTGCTATGTAGCCTCCGGAACTGTGATGCAACAAACTTTAAGTCCTCCGCTACAAGCGCGAATGACTCTACTTCAGAAACTGCTTTTACTGTCCTAGTGGATGATGGGAGAATCACACCTGGACGTGGATCGAGTGCCCATGTCAGCAGTTCCTCACCACAGAAGTCACCTGGACCAATACGACAAGAATTGAAGAAACCAGTACGACCACCATTGGTTGTGTGAGAATCAAGATTCCCTCGAATTATGAAGAGCATTTCGTTGACAGGATCACCCTCGCGCACAAGACAAGTGCCTTGTGTGCATAAAGCAGGTTTTAGCCTCTCACATATTGCGTCCAGCATCCTTTCATCCATTTGATCAAACAGAGGCACCTATCACATTCAGCAATGGATAAGTCAGACAGGTATACTACTACTAACATTTGCATATTCATTTCTTTTTCGCGCTACTTTCTAGTGCATCAGCATGAATTATATTAAGTTTCCCCAAATATATCTTCTATTGCTTCAAGTATTCCAAGAGCGAGTTCTTTTAACTTTCACGTATACGAATAGGAGATTACTTCTATTAGACCTCCGATTAAACAAGAAGAGTAACAACTAACTGCAACACTCACCCTTCGAACTAAATCATAGCACAAGTGGCGCTTGATATCTCTACGGAGATCTAAAGGAAGTCCTTTGAGAAGAGCTTCCTCGTCCACTCCTCTTGTAGCCACCCATTTGTATTGATCATACTTCCGTACAGACTGTCTTAGTTCTTGAGGTAACTGCCTATGATGCATCCATTGTTCTGTATCAGTTCTCCTGATTCTCCATTCCTCTAATCTTACAGTTGTTGATTGGAGATAAGTCTGACAATAGAAGTCAGTGAGTATATATTACCAACAAACAGACACAAGTCATGTTACAGCCCATAGGAATTGAAGACTATCTCAAATCTAAAATGCAGTAAGGTGTACATGAGCAATCTTACTTGCATATTTCCAATCAGCAATGCAAACAGAACTAGGCCGAGGGTCGCAATTATGATGGCAAAACCTATTTCTCCAACGTAAGTGCTTGTTGCAAGATTTTGCCCTAGAGAACTGCATATCAAACAACATAAAAATGAACTCAAGATTTATATATCTAAAAAGTTATTATAACAATGCGTTTGAAGTGCCTTACCTTAGATTCTTTAAGCCCCACCACAGGCAGTAGAAGTATTTGTTGAAAAATGGAGCAGTTGTCACATTAGCTGTCACTGAATCACTGTAAATACCAAAAGGATAATCACTAGTATTAGGATTACATTGCTTTGTAATATTGCTGGACTGGAACCATGCATTTCTTTGTGGATCCTTAACCCTCCGGCAGTCAAAATATCCAAAATCACAAGATCGCTCCTCAAAACTGCAGGTGTGTCTCCAGCAAGCTTCTTGCCTCTCAATCGATAGAAGGTACCAACAAGCTCCTCCTACCTATACTCGCAACAAAAATTTAACGACTTATATACTAAAAACTACTACTAATATTACTGTGCTCTCATTTTAGCACTATGGTAACGAAAAACAAGAACAGGAACTGCCTGTTATATATTTATATCGTTTTTATCTGAAGTATAGTATTAGTAATTTGCAATAATATGAAGCAAGCATCAATCAAAGAGAAAGCTCTGAAACCACTTACATGGCTGGCTAACATGTAAAGCATCAAGTTGTAAGCAGCTCCTGCCCATGCTGTTTCAGTAACAACACCGGTAGTTTTTACTATTTGTGACGACAGTGGAAATATGAGATAAAGTCTGGGAAGGTACTGAAAAATGATAATGAATCTAAGGACATTCTTCGTGTTGGCCATTGTTGAGCCACTTAAATTAGGGATAATGGCCCATATTAATACCTGAAAAACATGGACATTAATAAATTCATTAGTATTTTCAACTTTATTCCACGATGGACGATAATTACCCAAATTTCCAGTTGACAGACCTGTGGTAAAGGCAGGGCAGCAATGATATCGATCCAGAAACCTTTTTTAAAGTATCTGTGACCTATTTTTGAAGAATCTATAACAAGCTCTCCTCTCCCAAATACTCGAGAAGATGGAGCAACATAAGCAGTTCTAAACCGAACATATATCTGAATCATATAAAAGACATCAGCTATTGATCTAATAACTGTAAGGACAACTTCCAGATTAGTTCCTATATCAATGCAGACTTTATCTTGGACCACTGGCAAGTAAAAGAATAGAGGGTCCACGAATAAAGCGACTAAACAAGCTACCAAGAAAATCTTGTTCCATCTACGAATTGTTGGTCCACGAGGATCCAGTATCTTTTTCTTCACTCTTTCATAGTCTTCTGAGAATACCCGCGATAATACTTTAGCCTTCAGGGATTTTCCGGTCCTTATATCCTCTTTTTCATTCTTTCTATTAGCCAGCTCTGGTAATTGCGATCCATCAATCTTGTACTTCACTTTAATCAAATTATCTCCATTTATTGTTGCAAACTTTGTTGATTCAAGATCATCTTGAAATCTGAAATTCAAAGATTACTTTATAACATATTTGATTACAATATCACCCCACCTAATATTGTCTACAAAATGAACATGTTAGCTAGCAAATGAAAGAAGCTCCCGCTATGCACGGGATTCAGGGAAGGGCCGGACCACAAGGGTCTATTGTACGCAGCCTTACCTGCATTTCTGCAAGAGGTTGTTTCCACGGCTCGAACCCATGACCTCCAGGTCACATGGCGGCAACTTTACCAGTTATGCCAAGGTTCCCCTTATAAATGAAGGAACAAACACAAGAAAAATTCATATACTAAATAACATAATGCAAGAAGTCAAAGTGGACTGACCTTACGGATCTGGAATTACCATAAGCCATGATACTGACCAAAAAAATAACCTCCTCAGAGCTTCAATTATAGATTTTCATCTGTGGAACATAACAAAAAGAGAAGGCCTGTGATTTTCACGGATGAATAACAAGAAAATGACTCCTAATGAATTATAAGCCACCAAAATAAAGAGAACTAGCTGTTCTTTCTTTCAGTAGAAATCATGTGAAGAACTGAAAAGTTGAATACAAAATTACAAATAAAGTAGTTAAGACTCTATTTTCTCAAGTTTAAACTTAAAGTTCAAGTCAAACTTGTGACCGGGTCTTCAAATCTCACTATATTTTTTTATTTAGTCAATCAAATTCCGAACCCTTCAGAAAAATAAAATCTTTGATTTCTCAGTCCAATGGTGGAAGAAACAGTCAACACTTGAAACCAGCCACAGCCCTAAGTGCATCAAATTTCCAATTAAGCCATGCCCCAACATTAAAAAAATAATAATAATAAATCAGACCCTTATAAATCAAACAAGTAAATTTAAGTTGAACAAACAGAGCTCAAAAAAGAACAAAGAATTAAAAAGGGTAGCCCAGCTCCCGCTATGCGCGGTCCGGAGAGACCAAAAGGTTGTATTGTACGCAGTCTTACCCTACATTTATGGTACAAGCTATTTTCACAGCTCGAACCATCACTGCTAACTTTACCGGTTAGGCCAAGGCTCCCTTTCAGAACAAAGAATTAAAGCAAAATAATAATCAGACCCTTACAACAACAATAACAATAACAACAAGCCTCAATCTCGAACAAGTTAGGATCGGCTATACTCATTTTCCATGTCGCTCCATTTAAGTCCATCTCCGCCCACCCTTATAAATCAAAATTACACAGTAGAAGAAAAAAAATACTGATGAAAATAACTACTACTAGCACCCATTGATACTATGGGAAAGAAAGCAACTAACCATCAAATTTGAGGAGCAAAATGCAGTATCGATTTGAAGCTCAAAATCAAATCTTTTTAAATACCCTTTAGTAGCCTTCTCTTCACTTTGCTGATTTCTATTTGTTTTCTTTAATATTCTCAGAGAAAAATCAGAAACCCGACACAGTAAGCAAAGCCCAGAAAAGGAAAAGAAACAAACTTTTTGATAAATTAAGAAGAAAGAGAAAAAGGGACGAACTGAAATTATGGATATTGCTATATTTGGGAGGGAAAAGAAGACAATATCTATCTTTAGTCTCTCCTCTTGCTATTTGCTGCCACCCCAGTTGCAGAAATACAGGAGCGGCAGAGTTTCAGTTACAAAAATGGAATTTATATACTCATTTTTTATTCCTTTCTTTTTTTAAAAAGAAAAATATGATGTTAACCATATCTTATTATTTCTCTTGTTATATACGTATGAATTAAAATGTAATGAATTAACCCAAATAGCCGATCATCCTACCATTTAAATTAAAAATAATCGGTGAATGTATAATATATACATAATTTATATATTATATATGTATAATTATATATAATCAATTTATAATCTATGTATATTGTTAGAAAAAGTAAACAATTAATATGGCCGGTTATTTGTGTAAAAATTCCTTAAATGTATAGGAAGTGGAGCCCGAATTTGAAATTTATGGGTTCTTAAATTGTCAGCGAACCCATAACTCATTTATTTATTGGGCTCGTAATTAAATATTTTTACATATTTAATAAATTTTTAATATAAATATCGGGTAAAAGTTACTGGTTCGTCCGAACTCATTTCTACTTCTCTAGCACCGCCTCTAAAATGTATGGTTAAAGAAGTTTTTCATTAAAGATAAAGTGAAAAGCGTAAAATTAATTATTTTTAAGCATAAGATTATTTATTCTTTTAGAAATGAACTAATAAAAAAGTGTGTAGTATAATTTGAAATCTAAAAACTATTTTATTTCCTTTTTTAGTTAAACTGCATAACAATAGAGCAAGAAAAAGACAAAGACACCGATAATAGTATGAAATGAATATATCCAGGCTAGAGAAAGTACACAATTGGCTGGAGTATGGATTTTGTAATTTCTTTTTTTCTTTTTATTAAAAAAGTTTTCCTTCTTAATTGTTTGTAAAGATCCAAGGAGTTGACTAACTGGATAGTGTCACGTGGCACTGTGACATATGCAGCTATTTCTCACTTTTTTATTTACTACTAGTTGGAATTTTTTATTTTTATTGGAGAGCTTTGCATCGGACAAAAAAAGGGAGAGAAATGTGTGATGAAAAGCAAAGCTCCATAGATGTTTTATAGCAAGGGTGTTTATAGTTCGGTTTGGGTCGGTTTTTTCATAAAAAGAAATTAAATCAAGTAAGTCAATTTTTTAAATATTTGAACTAAACCAAACCAATTAAATCGATTTTTTTATCTTTTTTTAATTTTTTCGGTTATTTATTGATTTTTTTCTTAAATATGAGACGTACATTATCAAACGCGTATTCTATTATTTACCAAGATATAATGATGATAATTGAATCAAATATTGATTAATAATTTAAGTATTCAATTAAAAATCAATTATTTTTAACATGAAATAAATTCTTGTACTTAACAAAAGAAAACTACCAATCAAACTAGAATGTAAAAGCAAAGAATTAGATTATTATAATAGTAAAGAACTAGACTAAAAATATAAATGACTAGTATGTACCATAAAATTTTAGAAACTTTATATAAAAATATACATATATTGTAATAATAAATTTAACTAGCTACTTTTATAGTCGGTTTGGTTCGATTTTTTCGGTTATTTTTTTATTAAAACCAAAACTAAACCAAATTTGATCGATTTTTAAAATTCAAATTCAAAATCAAACCAAACCTAAAAAGTATCAATTTTTTTGGTCGGTTTGGTTCGGTTTTCGGTTTGGTTCGATTTTTCGGGTTACACCCCTATTTGATAGTATTGTAAAAATTCTTTTTACAATATTGGTGAATTTTACAACAACGACAATAACAAATTCATTATAATCTAACAAGGTGGTGCCCGGAAAGGATAATATGCACACGAACCTTATCCCTACATTGTGAAGGTAGAGAGATTATTTTCGATAAACGTTCGGCTCAAGAAAAGATAAAAAAGAAGCAAAAAGTAACAACAACAAGGTAAGATAATAAAATAACTGAAACGAAATAAATCACATACATTAAAAGAAATTTGCCGATAAGAAAATACGAAAATAAAAGATTAATATTAATACTGCCAGCATGAAAAATAGACATGCACGCTTACCTGCTAACCTTCTATCCTAATTCTCGACCTCTATATCATCCTATCAAGGGTTATGTTCTCGGTAAACTGAAGCTACACCATGGCTTGCCTATCAAATTAGTAAATTTTTATCAAATAAATGCTTATCAAAAGATTTACTTATTATTATTTAATAAATGATCTAATTGTGTAAAAAAAAAAATTCAGTATAAGTTATAGAGCTTAAACTCTTGCTGTATTAGTAAATTATTTCACTTGTATTTTTCTTCGCTTCTTTTTGTTCTTTCTTTTTAGGTTTTCTTAAAGGAATTTTCCCCTTAATCCTTTAACTTTGCCACAACTGTACGGATGATTGGGTTTGTCGAACTCTAGGGGAAACATAATGTTCCTTAATTAGCAACAAATGGAATCTAACCCTTCATTAATTTGCTTAGGCATTAAACTTTTAACTCTTTCTTAAGCCCAAATTGCATGAGGAGGGAAGAATTTAAAATTGTTTGATAAGAGTGAAGCTTGATTAGTGGATCACTGAAACTTAAATATTAGTAAAAAACAATAAGTTACTCCATATGAATTGTCACTGAATTTGAGACTTAATTGTCTCTTTACATTAGCATATCTGTACTTAGACGTACATCCAAGTACCTAAATATGTATATATCTTTATATTTTTATATGTATTCAAAATAATGTTTAAAATATGCTATGTATGGAAATGCATCTACATAATTCTCTGAAATTGTTGTTTAATGAATACTTCAACATGCAAATCTTCGATTGTAGGATGTTAAGTGCCCGTTTGACCATAAAAAATATTCACTTTTTTTCTTGGAATTTTTTTCATTTTTTTGGGAATCAATATGTGAAAATTTTAAATTTTACTTGAAGTTGAATTTCAGAATTCGAAAAACTCCAAAAAAAAACTATTTTTTTATTTTTTTTTTAGTTTAAATCACTCACAAAAATTTAAAAATATTCTCAATCTGTATTAACTATAATATTATGAAAAAGTAAATTTTATGTAAAAAGAAACAGAAACAGGAAAAACCAGAAGTAAAGAAGAATTGAAAATAATCAGAAACAGAATCTGAAAATATATTTCGGAATAAAATCGAGCCCACTAAATGCACAGTGTGTCCTTAAGAAAATTATTTTTCTCAATTACCCGAGGTGTTAGAATATTATCCTCCCACGATAGAACGATTTAACTCACTAGAGTATCGGTACCTAAAACCTGGTGAACTACGAACCACTTAATGGTTGTAAGTCATACTGGAATTTATTTGTGCAGAAGAAGGAGAAGAAGTTCAGAAAATTTCTTAAGGAAAAATTCTGGGATCAAAGCGAATTTATAGCCATTTTTTGGCACTGTTTTCTGAAAATTTGCAACCTTTCAGAAACAACCATGGTTGTTGGAACTAGTGGGAATATTTAAAATATTTCAGGAAATGAATTGAAAAATATTCGGAAAAAGAAACGGACCAGGTCACGTTACGCGCAGGTCCAGGGTTATTCCGAATTGACTTTTGATAATTAATTAAATAATTAAAAGAAAATTTGTCCAAAAATTAATCAATCAAGTCAAAGCCGAAGCCGAGCGAGCGAGGAGCGACAACGGCGCGAGGCTTACCTTCTTTCCAATCCATTTAACACCCACGAAAGTGTTTTCTTAATATAAGCACATTTCTTTTTCTTTCCACCACCAATGAGTGACAATTGCTCTTTCCAAAACATAAGGGAACTCACTTTCCCTTCACATTTCTTCACTTAATTCCCCATTCACCAACCTTCAATCCCAGCAATCCCCACATGAATGGGGAATGGCTATAAGACAAAGGAATGCACGGACGAGCGTGTGATTTACAAGCAAGGATTAATTATAACTGGATAAGTAGGTTTCCCTTTGAACTTTTCGTAGTGAACTTATATCGGATACACTCGGTCAATCGATAGATTTGATATCTTTGAACCGTCGAGCTTTGTTGTATACCTAGAAAACATAAGTCACACAATCAACCCTTAACTATCTATGATTCTCACAGTTGTATTCGTTTCAGCCATGAACACCACCCGGTTTCATGAATGCTTAGAGAATGAGCCTTTACTTTCATTCTCCTTGAAACGGCTTACACTTCACACCCACATAGGTGATTTCTAAACCTGTAGTCCTATAGACATACTATCTGGTCATTTCCTGCCAGACTTAGCAAATCATTAAGAAGCTTTAAACTTTATTGACTCATCAAAAAACCTTAATGCTTTACCCTGATTTCTGAACATTGTCTTCATCACGAGAATGGGTTGAGCTATTTGACAATATTGAACCATCATTCATAACTTTGTTTGATCTCTTTGAACCTAGTTTTTAGGATCTTCAATCTGCTAGGTAGAGTTACTGCCATGATGACTTGTCCTAAGCCTTAACCCCATTCCCTTTGATGATCTTTCAACCGCCTCTCTAGATAGGCTTTTTGTAAGTGGATCTGACACGTTATCTCTTAACTTCACGTAGTCAATCGTGATAACACCACTAAAGAGTAGTTGTCTAACGGTATTGTGTCTCCGTATGTGACGAGATTTTTCGTTATACATAACGCTCCATTCCTTACCTATTGCTGCTTGACTATCACTGTGAACAACTAATTTTTTTACTACATTTGAATTCCATACCATTTTAGTGTAAATATTTCTTTTAGGTCTTATCGTGATATTTTAAATTTTTATCTTACTTTTAGTAAATTTTATTTAAGACAATTAAAAATTACAAAATAAATATTAACATTATTAGAATACATATTTCATTTCTAATTGTAAAGAGAAAAAAGATATTTACAAACAATATATGATTTCTTTTCTTAGAATTTTAATAAGTTATGGTATTTTTCTTAGTATTATTAAAAGTATATTTAAATATTTAATTTTTATATATATATATATATATATATATATATA